TGTGAGCATTGCGGCAACGTATTATAGTCCTGGTGTCACAAAATGCGGTCTGTACGCCAGCTTGTATGTAGCGCATTCTGTCATATTATGCGTCTTTTGTGTGTAACTATTTTCTGTAAGCGTGCGTTTCTAAAATGCATTATGATCCTGTAGGCTTAATTAACCCTCAGCGCTGGTTACTGTAGTTGTGTGTGTCTGTCTGTTACCCAACGTACTTTACGAGCCATGAATCGCTCCACAAACAATACCAGGTATTCAGCATCGGTATGTAGGGTTTTCTCTGAAACTGCTGCGTTTGGGAGTTACACCGTGAAACATGAGCGAAAAGCCAATATGCTAATTAGAACAGTCGACTGGGTCCACTTTGCTCTGTGCATCTTGAAGGCACAAGAAGTCAAAACGAAGGGTGTGTATCGACTCCCGCATGCTATCTACTGCTGTAGCAGCCCGTGTCAGGCTCTCCGAGAGCTAATAGCGGGAGACCACGAGTAAACGCATACTAATAACCCAGCCGATGAATTAGCAGTACCACGCATGCGCAGTTTACCGAGGGTTTTCACTTCAGTAAAATTGTAGCTACCAAGTACTATCGTAAGCATTACTTTCATTAGGGGCTTTGGTTTCTTTTTTTGTTTGGTCTTGCAACAGCTTTAGCGTCGCTTGTAGAGTCAGTTCTGCATCAATTATCGATCAAGATTATAACAATGGTTAGTGGCAATGCGTAACATTACATACAGTAATTTCTTTAACTAGATGCCTAATATTATACCAACTGCCCATCTCCCATGCTTGCTTTTTGCTGCTCTACTGCTATACGTGCTGACGATCAACCTTTATATTATGTGGCCAACAGGGTGGGGTCCTATGCAAGACAACGCAAGGAAGGTGAAACTGGTCTGGTGGGAAACCATCCAAACCTCTATAACCTTACCCACAACAGGTGCTGAGGCAGCTGAAAATCCTAAGTGTGGGAATGAGGTGGATTTGTGTGCCCGTACTTGTGCATTTGTGTGCCTGTACATGTGCATGCTTTCCATAAAATTGGTGTGCTATTGGCAGCACTGACCAGGGGTATGTACGTACATAGTGTGTCACACACCATACATTATTACCGCATTTGCAGCAAGGGTTTACTATAGTTGTCATGTGTCTGTCGTGAGATCTCACTTGGGGTTATGAACAACTTTCTGTCTCAGTGTAGGCATTACCCTTCTCTATGATTTCATAAAGTGTCATCCCTACATCCCCCTTCTATAGATCAGTGTAGTTATATCCATGCCCTTCTTTAAAGTGACATCCCTACATCCCCCTTATATAATTGTTGCCTACCAGAGAACTGTATAGTTGTACAAGTAAATAAAAGTTTTGTTGTTATGGTTGACCGATATGTCGATTTCAGGTTATTTATTTTGGTTTTTGTATCACGATTGTATCCTCTACTGGATAGCTCTCGAGCTTTGTTTGCTCGCCGCCATTACACCAACTCTCACGCTAGCTAGCTGGCTTGGCAGTGACCTTTGATCCGGTAAAAACGACGTCATTTGGAGCGCAACCCCCATAACCAAGAACTGTAAGGTATATCGTGGATGTCCGTTGTACTGGGAGCGTCATTGGCCGCAGCTAGTGCCACAGGTACGGTATTAAAACTGTGATTTCTTTGCCAAAGCAGTTTCAGAACAGCTGATAAGTGCCCAAGGCTCTACTAATCTGCCTCAAATCCACCCCCCAAAGTAGGATTATAGATCGTAATCCAGGTCTGGAGCATTTGCACGCCACCGGGATTTAGAATCCGGATTAAAAGTGCCGTGTAAACGCTCCTGTAGGCTCTAGAATGTTGGTGACAGTGCAGGTGTCTACCCTAAGGAGTTCGGAGGCGTCCTCTACTCGGGGGTTTCAATGTGTTAGTATAATGTTCAATTGGGGGCAGCAGAGCTGTCCGTTCTAGGGGCCGTGTCCACTCTAGGGAGGGTCCGCTTTTGGAGGTTTCACTGTACCTCCGTGGCGGTGTGCTTTCTTTATTATGAGTCGCATATGTGCCAGCATCTCCACCACCCGGTCTGGGCTGAGTTGAGAGACTACTGCCATGGTCACAAAGGAGGCTCTCCATCTGCATAAGGAGCTGATCTCTCTCTGTTCTGAGTTGCGTGCTGCCTTCCTGATGTGTTGGGGGAGTGCCTTGAGTCGTTCAGCGGGAGCCTGGTCATCCAGGAGTAATAAGCACATTTCCACAAACTCCATAGCCTGGATCTCTTTTACCAGCATTTTATGGAGGGTGCTGGTACTTCTAAAGGGAGGAGGGCTAGCAGACACTGCCGGTGCAGGAGTATTTTTTTTCCATGCCAGGATGCTCAAGGAGGCACTTGTTGGGACTGTTGCAGAGGTATGTGCAGGGTTGGTCTTATCCTGGTTGGATAATTGGTAGTGACAACAGGGAGACAGGTAGTGCACCTGTAGAGGGGTTGAGTTGACGGGTTGTTTGGAGCTGGAAGCAGCAACAAAGAGGTGTGGTACACGCACTGGGTGCAATGTCCATCCAACCATAGGAATGCTATGTCCATCCACACACTTAAGTTACACCTGTATGCACACATGTGTTGTCTCCGTCGTTTCTGTCTCGCTAATTTTTAGCATGCGTAATTATGGCACGATGCACATTTGTCTGTTGTCATGCGCTACAGATTCTTTATCATTGCCGTCTACGTACGAACATTTAATACCTCTATACAGGGGAATCATATTTTATGTTTGAGTGGTTTCGTGATAATAAAACATTCCTCTCCTGAAACTGAAGAAGCTAGTTGAACACAATGCACTCGAAAACAGACTATCTCTCCCAACAAGAATGATTCTGGTCAAGTGATACCACATGTACATTTTTGAAGAAAGACTTCTGCCTATGAGTTCTTCCAAATGTGTATAACTGTGTTATTCACACTTGCTTATGTATGTATATATATTATTCTTTTAGATGTGCCAGCAGCAGTTGAATCATATGCTTCCTCTTGGAGCTTATTTACTAAAGCCAGTACAGAGAGTAATGAAGTACCCTCTTCTTTTAAGGGTAATATGCAATTGTGTATATATAGTGCACAAAATGTTGCATTTGACATGCTTGTAATCACAAGTTCCACTTGCCTAACCATCAGGCCATGGGACTGTATTAAATAAAAGTAAGTAATAACAGCAAAACAGTACAGATAAATGTGTGACTAATATCAAGCATAGCAGTGACAATTGTAGCATAGTTTGTGAAGAACATTATAAGTACTCATTACTCTTCCTCATTCCCTGTTGCTGCTGTAAGCTATAACAAGGGCCTGTTCTTTTGTGGTTTCAGGCTATAAGCCTAACATCGTTACTGTTCAGATTTTGCCCTTGACAATTATACTTTTTTCCACTTTAGCAACTAATAAAGAATATGTGTGTGGACGATCATGGATTTTCAGAAGTCTCAGTGAGTGTAGTCTTATACTGGATAGACAGTGTCATTTTAGATTCCATTTGCAGTGTTGGGCATGGTTTCGAAGAGATAATGCTTACAGGATTGCCCTTAGTGTAATATAGTTTGCAGTAAAGAGATTTGGTAAGCTGGGGGCTGCCTAAATGCCCCTTCATGGAATATTTATGTACGTAACCTGTGATTACCACCACTTGTGTGTGTATGCATAATGTTATGTAATCCATTTGCAGAGTGCTATTGATATAATGACGTCAGTTTCTAAACACATCAATGAGATGAAAGAGGAATATGATGCTGATGTTTATGTGCGTGGACTTGATAACTTGATTAAGGGATGTGAGGTACGTATGTGTATATTACTGCCAAAAAGCTCTTTTGCATCGATGCATTTGCTACTTTTTCCAGAGACCGCCTCCCAAAACTATACCAGCAACTGTCAAAAATATAGAGACTAGTGGTGTAGACGAACCACCTAAAGATAGTTCAGGATTTATGAACACATGCTACCATAATAAGGGCATTGAAATGGTTAACCTTCCTAGAATATTTAGCAGTAGGTATTTTAGAGATGCAGCACCTAATTCATAAACAACAGGGTACCTCCCACAATTGACAATAGCTGGGAGAATATTCAATCAAAAGAAGGTAGTGTAAGAATTAGACATTGATGGAGGAACTAAGAATATGTGTTATGACTGTAGTAAAAGTAAATACTGTTATGAGCCTGCAGGACATGTCATTACCGGGGACTTCACGATAGTAAGAGATGCTAAACTTAGAAGCCTGATAGAGAAGGAACCATTGTTTAGGGAACAGAACACATGAGAGCATTAAATGAATAGGAATGCAAGATCAATGAATGTATTCAAAATAGGATTGGGTCACTTAGGAGTAGGCATATAATAGTTCTTATGAGTGAGAAGCATTTAAGGTCTCTCCAGGAACTTCATAGTAAGTGTGTTTTGGTACCAGCTGATAAAGCATCAAGCACTGTGATAGTAGTGTGCAAGAAGTATTACTTAGAGGTTGTGTTAAGAGAAATCAATGTGACAACAACGTATGAACATGCTGCAGCGGATTATGACAAACTGGTTGATGGGCATTCGAAGTTTATGTCAGCCAATCGCATACGTAGCAGTGGAGCCTGAATGTGAATGATTACCCCTGTTTTATTGGCAAAGCTACACGAAAAGCCTTATGGTGCAAGGTTTTTAGCTCCCTCGCATAAGTGAACTACAAAGCTTTAGTTAAATCACTTACTGCCCGAAATTAATTACCAACCAGTTTAGACAATACTGTAATGGCATTTTGTGTTAACTGTTTTGGGAATATAGATAACTTACAGCAGGTGCTTTCAACCTTAAGTAAGATATAATTATTTTTGTACCACCAAGCATATGCATTTAGATAGTTATGATTCAACACTATACACAGGTATTCCTCATAATTCACTCAAACAAGCCTTAAATAAGGAGGCCTGCAAGGTGATAGTGTGTTCTTTGTGGCCGACCATGCTAGAAGAGCATATTGGTCAAACATACCACCATCATCGTCAACTAAACATAGCTTAACTGAGGAACAGCTTGTTGTGCATATGGAATATCTGGTAGAAAAAATTTATGTTAGTATAGGCAATAGAGTGTGCAGGCAGTGCATGGGAATTACAATGGACACGGATTGTGTTCCATTAGTAGCAAGTTTGTTTCTATTCTATAAGGGGCATAATTAAGGCAAATTTGGTGTTAGCTAAAAAATTCAATAAAACACTGCATTTCATTAAGCGATAACTGACATATACCCCCGCGAACTCCAACAGAAGAAAATTACGGAATGTCAAACACAACTGTCGTACTTAGTAACTATAGAAAAAGGGAAATACTCAACAGCATTATATGACAAGTGGGACAATTTCATTTTGATTTTGTAAATTTTTCAATTCCATCTGGACCTACATGTGGAGTTTATATTTCCCAGCCAGTACTAAATAGCGGGTAGTAACTATAATATATACTCAGTTTTCGATGAGGGACTACAAACTTACACAACGACCACGTATATAGTTCACCAAGAATTCACATGCTCAGCATTGTGTGTAGCTTTTCGGAAGCAAAGAATACGGTTTTAGACAATTATGGTTGTAGTATACGCAAACATAAGATTGTGTATGTTTACCAACAATGGATCCGTTCCTGAGTCGCCATTTCCCACGCAGATCCATTTAACGGTACGTATTTTAATTTTACACCGCGTGCATACAACTGTGTACTGAATAGAATCATTGCACAGCCGCTCTATACTGGAGCCGAGCCTTGTCTGCGCTTTAGTTGTCGTTCTTTCTTTCTAGATTATATTTTAATAAATGTCTATTTTTCTACAAATTCTTTTTTTATTATTACTTTGTTTACTGACTCTTATTCAGGTTTTCTATTTTATATATTTTTATATTGTATTTTTCTACAGCCTCTGTATAGCAACTGTCAATGTAGTTGTGTGTCGTGAGGCTTGAACACTCTTTGTGTGGGGAGAGTTGGCATGCCATAAAAGACTCTTTAACTCACCGCCCCAGTTCTCAAGGCTGGGCACCTGTTGTCCTACTTTTTTTATGTGCAAGTGTGCCGTTTGTCTTGTGTGTGTACCTGGTGGGGGGGTTGAAGGTTACTTCTAGTTTTCTCTATAAACTTACTTTTTATGATCTTTGATTTGTCTGCACAAGAAGGATTATAAATGGGGATTGCATCATGTGTAGTGTGTGTTCCTTTTGTAATGGCCCCCCTTGTGCATTTTCTTTGAACGGTTAATTATTATCACTTTTTTCCAATGTAGGGTGTTGTTGACCTCGTTACAGCTGGAGGTTTGATGTTGGAGGTAAGATTCAAGCTTCGGAATTGGGTCCCTTAATTTTAGGACATCAAGTTTTATACGCAGGTCTGTAGCCATCTACAGTACATGCGGAACTTGTGTAATTTTTTAAATTGAAGTCTGGGTACTTTAAAAGACTAATTGAGAACAAAAAGCATGGAAATGGCTGAAGTATATGATTTTAAGCTAGCAATTGAACCTACGTACATACATAGGAGCCCACAGCTACTATAGAAGTGAATGTCAACCTAACAATATAAAAAAGAGTGGTGCAAAACACTACTAACAGTAGTGTAGGTAGATGCGTAAAGCAAAGGGAGGTGCCTATGCACATGTTAAAAAGTATACTGCCCACCAAACTATGGTGTTGCCACTGAAAACTGTGTTTTGGAGAGGGAGCTGCAATATGCCAGCACACACTGGTAATACACAGAGTTAAGTAGAAAAATAAAAATGAAGAGGTACGCATATACTTGAAGCACAAAAAATGTAGAAACAAGGGGTATCATTACCCAGCAAAGGCACACAAACACAGTTAATGGCAAAATGTACTGGACAAAGGATAGTGTCATGTAGCTTTATGTGTCTTGGCTGTGTCATGACTGTGCCATCACTATATCCCCTTTCATTTTTAAGAATTAATTTTTCCACTCTTTTTTAATGAACAGCTATGATGACACTGCATTGCTAATATTATTCTTATGCTTGTCACTTTGATGTGCTTGTGGCTCAGTTAGTAGTGCGCTCGCCTAGGCTGCAGAGTGTCCTTAGTTCCAATCCCACCCTGGGCAGCTCTTCTTAAGAACTGTCGTGGTTGTTATTTGTTGTGCCTTTGCCTATCTCGTAATTCACACGTGGGTATTGTGTTGACCATGAACAAATGTTACCTGCGTGGACAAGTTGAAGCACTAAATTTGTGTTGACCCGAGGTTGGTAAGACATACAAGGTGTAACTGCTGGTGCCAGAAGCAGGGGCAGTAGAGACCCAATCATCCAAACAACCTTCATCCGTGTATAGTCCTTCCTACGGAGATTTCACATATTATTTGTGCACAGTAGTGGCTTCATGGGCAGACTTTACTTCAAACTGGGGCACCAAGCGTCTGGTGGTCATGCTGCTCTTATATACGTGCAACTTGGAATGCCATGTCAAGACTCGAAGTCTGACACAGATTGTTCACCATAATTATTTTCTTCTGTGTGTCTGTCTACTGGAATTGTTTGACCTGTTTGTTGCTCTCAAGCTCAGTTATTCTCCCTTTCAAGTGGTATTCTGGTCCAGCTCTAATTGTGTCCTCGGGGAAATCGGTATAATCACCTGTAATATTCCTATTGGTCACCTGACCTTTGTTGTACCTGATTGTGTGATACAACTCACAGATTCCCTGTTTATATAATTGGGATTGTTTGGCTTGTAACAAACTAGTTTCTTGCCTACCTGTGTTGTCATGTTCATTGGGAGGCTCCAGTAGGTCGCCATTGTTTGGGTTAGGGCTACTCTCTGGGCCCCACTTTTAGCATCAATACATTCTTCATTCTATTTACCAATTGGTTCTCTTCAAACATTGTAGATTGCTCCCACTTACCTTCACTCCCTTGGGATAGAATTTTAGTAGTATTTTTGCTACATTTAACTAGCATTCATATTCCACATCTCTGTGTTTTATTAGCTGACTGTGTATATTAGTTATAACAGGCTAGTCAGGGTAGCATGCGTATTATTATGCCTGAGTGCACGAAGGCGTATAACCGCAAGCCACCCGCAACCGGCTTGGTTGTAGCCCAGTAAAACAGGTTTGAGTGTGGTTGCATCAAAGCGTTTTGGTGGGTTCACTTGTGCATCATGGCAGACTGTAGCGTTTTCCGAAGGAGCCGTGGCTTGGGAAAGACACTTCCGACGCCTATGACCTCAGCGCGAGGACCAATTGCGGATTTCTGGGGAGTTAAACCCAGAAGCTGTGCGGACCGTGCAGATATTTTCTCAGCACCGCTCATAGTGTAGCTTGTGGTTGGCTGTGGCTGGAACAACCAAGAACCTCCTAATTTTCGAGCATACGCGGCTAGTATGACATTGTTACCTTTTTGTGAGTGTTTATTTACTAACTCTCTAAAAGTGCTCATGCCATACTGTGCTACTACAGGGAAATTTACGATATGCTGGAGGACGTTCTACAATTCCCTCTTTAAGAAGTCGTGCAGATCGCCATTTATACACATTTCTGTTCAAAAGGCTGATGTTATTAACAAAGAAAGACGATGATGGATATCAATATAAAACACACCTAGAGGTATGTTTTCTTTTCTTGACTATGTTTAATCTGAAGCTTAATATTAATCACGGCTGGTATGATGACCAGTTAATGAAGGTAAGCTGTAGATTTATGTGTTTGTTATCATTCCTTGGAGATACATGTTAGAGGGAAGCTAAATACTAGAAACGGGCAAGCTTAATTCAGTGAACACTCAAACGTCCATGTCAGTTTCTGAGTTACATCACCATAGAGTGTCGCGAGGCCCTTCATTTGTCAGTTAAGGAACTCGAGAGAATTTTGATTTAACAAAAAGATGAAAAACACCTGGTATGCAAAATGCCATGATGTTTTGCCAAGCCATGGCAAAAGTCAATATAATGTTTTTCGAATTGTAGTCTCAGGTTTGTGTGATAGTAGAGCATTGGTAGGGATTGCAAAGATCAGATACCACGCTATCCATATACAAAATGCCTCAAAACTCGGCAAGAATGACTCACCATGGCTTAGCAATAGTCTAGAGGCCAATATCTAGCTATAAATATTAAGCCCAAAAAGTTTATATGCGCCCTCAGTTCTCCACGGAGAATTCGCTCACATGCGAATTCACAATTTTTGTCAACCATCATATTGTTCTTCAAACATGTTATCTCTTTCCCGGAACAAGTTGAAGCAAAAATATTTTTACGAAAGGTCTCCAGGTTCCACGGAAATGTGCTCTGCCATTAAGCGATCGTTCATTTCTTAATGCAAGTCTCTACAGTAGATCGTGAAGCTCTTCCATCGTAGACTCTGAATGATGCCATTTCATACAGACTCAGCAGCATGCATGTGGCTAAAGGGTGTTGAGAGAGAGAGAGAGAAGAAAAAAAGAAAAAAAACATTAGAAGTGGTGAAAAAAATTTTTCTCTGCTAAGTTAGCGGGTCAAGTTTCAAGCCTACCAAGCTTATCTAGCGGTAGGCTAGTACTATCAGCTTCTCTAGTGCGAGGGTTCCGTCGTTCCCTCGAGCAGTTACCATGACAACCACGATAACACCATTTCAAGTACTGCAGATGATATCAGTTCAGGACTCACACCTGTGGATACGGGTCTCTCTCCACACCGTCATCATTCGTTATCATGTGAGGGTTCCGTCGTTCCCTCGAGCGGTTACCATGACAACCACGTATCAAATGGAAGGCTCTGCCCTTTTTGTTCTAAGGCATTCAAGGGTCTGAATCCATCTGCTTGAGAGGAATGGCAGGGACTACTTTGTCTATCTATCTCTCAAGACCCGTACAAAGAAAGCAGGCAGCAAAAAACAGCAGTGCCCACACTGTGGAAGGAAGCTGAAGCGCCTGGATATTCATCTAAGACTGAGTGCTACTTGCAAACACCTTGCTAGTGCTGCTGCTGTCTCAATTCAAAGTGTCCAGCCTACTTCTAATAACGTTCGTCAACCTAATGTTCTATATACATCCATCTGACACGATTTCTCCATCAGAGCCATCACCCTCACTCTGTGCTCCCAGTATGCCACCCATGTTGGAGCCATTAAACTGCCCATTAACTGAAGATCCGTGGGCTGAGGCAGATCAACACATGGCTTCTACAGTTGTGCCAGCTGTACTGTCAGCATACCCCATTGAGGACAAGAACCATGCCTTGTGCTCTGGGATCTACACATACTTCTCCAGTCAGTATGGTACCAGATCGTCACAGTCTCGCTGCAGAACCAGGAAACACAAAGGGTCTGGGGTGTCCCTGGCCAAACTACGTGAAATGCGGAACAGCCTGAGGCGTGCTAAGAAGAGTGGCCAGAGTTCTGATGTCATCAGATCTTTGGCTGGGCAATTCCATCTACTACTTCGTCAATATAACAAAACCAGTAGGTTGGAGCAGAGACTGTCTGGCGAGGAGGCTGTAAGAAGTGAAAGGAAGCAGTGTGCTAGTGCCTTTGCAAAGAAGATTCTGGAGGAAGTCAGCAGTCCAAGCACCTCTGGTTCGGCTTTTGATGCACAAACGGCTCAGGAATTCTTTACGGACATCTACAGTTCTGACAATGCAGATTTCCAGCATCCCAATTGGTTGCCTCATCCAGCTCCTCCATCTCATCCTTTCGAGGAGGGTCCTATTACTTCCGAGGAGTTAGATCGGGTCCTTGGGAAAGTGAGACAAAGGGCATCACCCAGCCCACTTGATCAGGTGTCTTACTCCGTTCTTTGTCGCTGCCCCTCTCTGCAACCAGCTCTTCTACACATCTTCAACGTCTGTTGGGCCCAGCAATTGGTCCTGAGGAGTTGGAAGGAGGGGGTTATCTGTGTGATTCCCAAGACAGCTGCAGAGGAGGCCCCAGATCTTCCTTCTAACTTCAGACCCATCGCCCTCACCTCCTGTGTTTGAAAGCTCTTCACTTCCATCTTGAAGAATAGATCGTTGTCTTTCTTGATTACCAACAGCTATCTCGACACCAGAGTTCAGAAGGCCTTTCTTCCAGGTGTGCCTGGGTGTGTGGAGCACTACCAGAAGCTACTGACAACTGTTCAAGATGCCCATGAACGACACCGGCCACTCGCTGTCTGTTGGCTTGACCTGGGTAATGCTTATGGTAGTGTTCACCACAACCTTATTGCCTTCAGTCTCCAGCATTACCACACCCCTCTGTGTTTTCAGGACATGGTTCGAAACATCTACTCTGATCTGAGAGCCGTCACCTCAAAGGACTGGTGTTCTGCCCCAATCCCATTGCTGATTGGTGTCTACCAGGGTGACCCCCTCTTCCCAGTCGTCTTCGATACTGTCATGTCGACTCTGACTGACAGTCTGAGAAGTCATAACAGCTGCGGCTACACCATGTCAGGGTCTTCTCTCTCCACTAATGTCCTCCTATATGCAGACGATGTCTGTCTCCTGGCGGATGGTCCAGCTGGTGCTCAACTTCTTCTCTCACAAGTGGAGCGATGGTTGGAATGGTCTGGGATGAGGGCAAAAATCGTGAAGTGTTCTGCATTAGCGATTGCAGCATCATCAGCTAGACGATTTGATCCAACCCTGTCTCTGAACGGTCAGGCGATCCACTTTGCTGGTTCTAGTCCTGTCCGTTTCTTGGGAGGTCCCATCTCCATCCCCACGAACAGTAGAGGGCAGCAGAGGAGAGTACTGGAGAAGCTTGAACTGCTGTTGATGAGAGTGGACAAGTGTCTGGTAACAAGGAAGCAGAAGCTACTCCTGTACAAAGCTGGAGTCTGCCCTAGAATAAACTGGGAGCTGGTGACAGGAGACTTCCCAATCTCATGGGTCTCTTCAACCCTGGAGGGGACTGTCATGATGTTCCTCAAGAGGTGGTCCGGCCTGGCACGACCGGCTGATACAGCACGTCTCTATCTACCAAGAGGGGAATTGGGTCTGCCGTCAATCAATATAAGAGGCTTAGGGTCTCTCAGAGTGCTCTGCTGCTGACCTCCAGGGACCCTGTGACAAGGCAGCTGGCCTCTAGGCTGGTGAAGAGGGAGGAGAAGCTAGTGAGGCCAGTGTTCAAGCCATCTCTCCTCTGCAGAGAAGTGATGAAGGATGACCCTGGAGCTAGTGGGATGTCTCTGGCCAAGAGAGCAAAGGGTTACCTGTCTTCTGAGGACTCAGTGGCCAGGAGGGAGCATGTTGAATCTCTCCCTTCACAGGGTGAGCTGATGAGAGCGACATCATATACCCCTGACATCTGGGCTTCTTCTGTGGTAATGCTAGGGTCAGAGGGCTTGAAGTTCACCTTGAACGCTGCCACCGACACGCTGCCTCATAACTGCAACCTGGCAAGATGGCGAGGAGGTTCTGTCTCGGAGTAGTGCAGGCTGTGTGGCAGTAGACAGACCCTTCTTCATGTATTGAACAACTGCAAGGTTGCTCTCCACCTGCGCCGCTACAACCACATGTCAGTCCTGTCAGTGGTGGCTGAGATGGTGCAGACCCATCTACCAAAGGGTTACCAGCTACTGGCCGATGTCCCTGGAACGAGTTACAACTTCCCCCACCACATCGTAGCAACCACCCTCAGACCGGACCTCGTCATCTGGAGTGATCACAAGAAGGTTCTCCACCTTATTGAGCTGACCATTTGCTACAAGACTGGTTTTGTTGAGGCTAAGCGCAGGAAGACTACACGTTATGCGGAACTGGTTGCAAAGGCTCAAGAAGCAGGCTACAGATCGACGTTGACACCTCTTCAAGTGGGGAGTAGGGGGGGGCTTTGGAGGAGAGAGGCTTCATAAGTCTACACTCAATTGTGCCTGAGGCTTCTAGTAGACAATGGAAGGCTTTCCTAACCAAGCTCACAACAACGGTAATGGAGGAGTCATTCAAGATTTGGTGTAAGAGGAACACTTCTACCTAAGTCGGCACACCATGTTGTAAGAATGCAGGTTAACCAGAATGCACCCTCAACCTAATTGACAGCGTAAATGGAACTATAATTAACTCATACATAATTAGAGGGCTGAGTTGGGACTATACTGTGCAATGTCGTCGTCAGTCATTTTTGTAAAACAGTGTCTCTCTCACCCACCCATCTTGTACATGTATGCCACACACATGATGGTTTTCACCGAGAGAGGGAGGGAGAGAGAGAGAGAGGGAGAGAGAGAGGGAGGGAGGGAGGGAGGGACTCAGCAGCATGCGCGTGGCGTTGAGAGAGAGAGAGAGAATCGGATGCATCTGGTTTATTCATGTCCTCTCTGCCACGTCTGCCAAGGCTCTTGTCTCTGAGTAAGTCAACTCATCTCGTCTTGGGAACCTACAGAGTCTCGAGAGGCAAAGCCAGTTGATTAGGTGTACAAGCCCCAGCTGTGCCCCAATCTGGTCGCGGGCTGTGCTGGCACTACCTGAGGACCAACTGAAGTTCGCCTACAACGCAGCGGTGGATGTACTCGCACATGATGTGAACCTCTACCTCTGGAGGAAGAGGAAGGATCCATCATGTCCTCTCTGCCACGAGAACCAGTCACTACTGTATGTTCTCAACAACTCCACAAGGAGGTAACATATGGCACGTTTCAATCCTCAGTACTATCACTGAAACAGTCGTAATATCCCTCCGACAACTTCAGTGACGGCCGACATCAGCAACACCTACGAGTTTCCCCATCACATCATCCACACTGACCTACGGCCGAGGCACACAAGTCAATCACCCTGGTGGAGTTGACTGAGTGCTTCGAAACCAACTTCGAAGAGGCAGCTCGAAGGAAGACAGCAAAGTACCTTCACCTTGTTGAGCAGGCCAAGGCTAGGGGGTACAGGTTAGAGCTGATCACCCTCCAGGTTGGCTCTCGTGGGGTCCCCGACCTTCCTGGTTTTGAGAATCTCGCAGCAAGTCTCTCTCTCCCTCATAAAGACCTAATGAGGCTTTTGGAGAGTGCAGCTTCATTAGCCCTGGCTGGGTCTTTCGGCCTTTGGTGCTCAAGGAACAAATTACAGTAATATCTCTGTATATGTATGTCCCTAGTTTGTCATTTTACTGTGTTTGTGGTTCAATGTGATTTTGTACATCAGCTAGGCAATTTGATCATTGGTCTATACCGCCCCTCATTTTGTATGTACCATTTGTCACCATCCCTATATCTTTGTTACTAAGCAAGTACGATCAGACAGGGATGGTGTCATGTATCTTTGTGTGTCTTAGCTGTGTAATGACCCCTTGTTCTTTTTTCCCCCATTTATTGAGCTATCCGTATATCCCCTTGATTTTGAAGAAATTATTTTTACACTTGTGCTAAGTAGCGCCACCCCCAAACAAGGAGACAATAATGATTACGTAAGTATAACACTATGTTTAATCATTTCAGATTGCAGATATTCAACTTTCTCAGCGAGTTGAAAAGGAAACAAGTGCAACATTTCAAGTGCGACAAGTTTCAACTGGAAATTTTTATAATTTACAGGTAAATCGTCTGGAGACTTAATATTAAGGATATTATTAGTCTGGCGTAGCCATCCTCTCAACAACGGGAGTGGGTCTGGTCTGCATAGCATCATACACTTGTGTCCGTGGAATGTACAATGATGTAGTCTTTTAACGTTCAAATATGCGCATGCGCATGTTGGGATATATGTATACGAAGGCCCTGAAACAAAGCTACTCGTTCAGTTCATTGCTAAATATGAAGACGAGATGACCAAGTAGCTCACCAAAGCCAACACCCAGTGCTTGTACGAGCACTGGGCAGCTCTACCTTCTCCTGTGAACACGTTCTTGCACTGTGCTGACTGTACACATTCCACGATAACGTGACGTCATGTAAGCTAGGAATGCATTAATTACTGTCCAGACCAGACCCCTGTCCATTTGTATGTGGGGTGTGGCAACGCCACTCTAGGATATTATGGGTAACCTAGACATTAATCACGTTAATCATAAGTGCATGAGGCCCGTGAATTTGTTGTATGCATAGGACTGGCAGTTCTGTCATTAATTCTCAAATTATATTTATGGGTACTCTTCATGTTCATGGGTACTCAGCTCACCATATACACTTCATATTTATTGTTAACCGTCGTATTTATGGGTACTCTTCAGGTACACTTGTCATATTATTCCCTCTGCTATACCCGTACATGCATAATAAGAGTTAACAACAGGGTTGTTAGCTGCGCTGAACATCACCCTAGTGGTGCATTATAGGGAAAAATGCTTGTTGTTGTGATGGAATTGATGAATGTGTGCTACCGTTAGCAAGTTTGAAGAGTGAAGAAGTAAATGTCTGACGCTATTTGTAGTTGTTCTAATAATATGTGGTTGTCATGGAAAAGATGCCATACGCATTCGTACCAACTCTCATCTCCATGAGTGCTACCGTTAGCAAGTTTGAGGAGAAGTGCCTGAAGCTATTTGATAACGATATGTGGTCGTCATGGAAATGTATGTATGCTAACTGTAGCACGCGAGAGGTGAAACATGCATAATTCATCGTTTCCATGACAACTACAACAAATAGCCTCAGGCACTTTTCTTAAGATTTACTTTTTCACTTCTGAAACTCGCTAAAGGTAGCATGCATGGTCAGCAGCACATACCAGTGGCAAAGCCTTGTGGGGATGAATCTCATTAGTTCAAAACCACAAGTGCTGCGCTCATGTCAGCCTTTATAAACACCTGTTGCCAGAGAGAGAAGTTGTGGTATGCTCTGCTGATGATGGCCAACAAGCCCGAAACAGCTGTCAGGAGCTCCCCATCTTTTTTCTCTTGGCATCACATGTTTTTTTCTACATGGAGATGAAACTTTGTGCGTATTACATCATTTCCATGACAACTACATGTTTATATGACGACTACATATTGTTGAAATAGCTTCAGGCACTTCTCCTCAAACTTGCAGCACACAAGGAGATGAAACTTGGTATATTCGCAGTATACCGGTGTTATTGCATTCCTGTCGCCTATATCGCTCAGCCTGAGCGGAGCTTCGTGAAAAACACAGCGCCCTTGGCAACCTCCGGAGCTACACACGCTTGTTTTGTCGCTAGTATGGTTTTTGCTTCCTTGATGCATTGTTTTTCCAGGCCCTAGCCAGCGCAAATGCTGACACGTAGCTGTCGCGCGTATGACACCGATTCATACCGTCATACCGAGTTTTCTAGGCTACAAAAGCAGGCATACTGGTCTATACCCTCGGTGCTTTCTGTACCGCCCTCGGGCTCTGCCCTCGTGCGGTACTGATCATCACCTCGGGTACATATTCACCATTTAACCTTCCAAACCCATGGGTTAACCTATACTTATTCGGGGGTGCAAACTTAACCAACCATGGACACAAATGTGTCCAGAGTCTCCTTAAGTCCATAAGAACTGATATGGGAAATAAATCACTTTGTAACCCAGTAGGCACTCAGATCAGAGGCACCGACAGTTCCGCATACCCTGCTGTGTGGAATGTTAACATTATTCATTGCTGATACACACTGCAGTCACGCATATATATTATTGTTATCTGTAGTAATGGGTTTATTAGCATTAATTACCCATGGCAACAGGTGTATTAGGAATGAATATCAATGTATAAACCCTGCGGGGAGCTAATGATCCAGTTTCGACTACATGAAAAGCGGCTAGTCTAGTATACTTCGATGCTGGTTTTTTTAAAGACATGGCAGGCCACCAAATGCAGCGAGAGAATCACACCCATAACTGGAGCTCCGGAGCCAGTGCCGCGACCACTGCTACTCACCAAAATGCCACGGGAGTTCTATGCTCGAGATTGGCAAGTTCTTAGTTGTTCCAGCCGGGCTGGGCTGCCACAGCCAACAACGAGCTAACGCGCTACGAGCGGCGCTGAGATAATATCTCCATGGTCTGCACAGCCTGGATTTGTCTTTCCCAAGCCACGATGCCCTCCAGTCCGCCATGATGCACACGAATTCAACAGTGAGCCCACCAAAACGCCTCTTGTGTGTTTGGCGCAGTCAAACCCATTTTATTGGGCTACAAACCAGTTATATCATGCCAGTTGCGGGTTGCTTGTTTTGAGGGTAACATTAAGTGAGATGTGTTAAGTAGCATTGCAGTCTGTGTAAATATGGTATGTACTTGCAATGAGGAATTCATTTTAGATTTCACAACAAAAATCGGCATAGCGCTACGCTATACAGTTAAGTTCATATCAAGTTATCAGGCGGATAACAAACTTTCTAGCCCAGTGGAAGTAAACATAATCGGAGTCCATTCCTAGACAACTCCAGGTTTTCCCTGACAATAACAGAGGGGCAGCAAAGGGTAACGCACCTTCGCTTGAGAAATGTGTCCAATAGGCCTTTTCGTCTTAGATGATGCAATGTACACGCGTCATCGTGACGACATAATTGCTTTTGACGTCACATCCGGAGTACATTTCGTGCATTGCGCCGGGGTATAATGTATGGCAGTCTACGGGAATAGCGCATGGTTTTGGACAACGCGCATGTGCCTCCTGTGTTCAATCCTCTATTTAAACGGTACCTGTATGAAATTTCGTCATAACATCTGCTCTCTATCTTGCACTTTGTCCGGACACTGTTGCCCTTTCCAGCGCGAAGATACAGGCCGCGTGAAGTTGGCTACTGGACCGCGCGTTAGGATTCGATAAGAGATTGATAAAACGAGGAGTAACAGAACTCGGCGAGTTAGTCACTTGGTCTCTGTTACTGTTACTCGTTTTATCAATCTCTTACCGTCGTGTGTGTCGAATCCTAACGCGCGGTCCAGAAGCCAACTTCACGCGCCTGTATCTTCGCGCTGGAAAGGGCGGCGGTGTCCGGACAAAGTGCAAGACAGAGAGCAGATGTTGCAATTTCATACAGGTACCGTTTAAATAGATGGTTGAGCTCAGGAGGCACGTGCGCATTGTCCAAAACCATGCGCTATTCCCGTAGACTGCCATACATTATACCCCGGCGCAACGCACGAAATGTACTCCAAGGTGTGACGTCAAAACCAATTAAATATTTAGCTGCTTAGATGAAAAGTTTGCTTGATTTGGAGTAGTTTTGCTTGAAAATAATGGGCATGATGCATCACAGGTTAGCAAAAAGAGGGATTTGGGGATTTTCTGGGGGGATAGGCAGTATTTTTGCTTGATTATCAAGCAAGAAGCTGGATGGTTGGTAGGTATGTTACAAATTGACACACAGACTGTCTCACTCATGGCATTATAGAGCTGTATTAAATAACACTGATAGTTGTGTTGTCAAATAACAGAGTATGGCATTTTCCCACTCAGGCTGAAACTCACAAAGGGAAGGAAAAGTGGGTAAACACAATCAAGAAATTGTTGATGGAGAGTTTACCTGGCCTGCCTGATAAGGTATTTATTATGTTGGTGTCTTTGGGGAGCTGAATTCTGTGGTATCCCCTCAAATGGACACCCCTGACAAGCCCTATATTGTCGCAAAGCATGAGTGATCTCCATCGTATGATGTGCAGCTATGATTCGTTTCCTAAGCATGTGTGACAGGTTGCTAATGCCTTCTCTGATGGGTCGTCGGGTTTGAGTTGTGACTGCATTTTGTAGTTTGCGAACTTCCTACAGTCCGGCATTGTTGACCTTCCTATGGAACCCTTCGCCAGTAGTTCTCCAACTTTACATCGTTCACTAAAGAATCTCGAAAAGAGTGGCGACAATGTAGGGCTTATGTGGAGAAATATTTACACGAGCGAGCAATGTCAGTTTGAATGTGTAACATCATCCGTTCTACTACTGCATCACATACACTAGGTCATTTGCTGTCTTGTACCTTAGCTTTTTTCAAAGAAGTTTTATTGACTTGTCTCCTTTCCTTTTTTCAATTCCAATATTTGGGGCATTAAGGGGCTATGCATACAGCTCCAGTGTATACATAACATAGCACATCGTGGTTCAATTAGTATGTGACTCTCAGCTAATCATGTTCCTTGAAATCGCAGCTGCTCACTTCATAAGTAATAAGTATAAGTGCTTCCAAAAAAGGGATAATTTGGTTCTTTGCTGCACAAATCATTATTCACATCATACCTTTGCCTTTTCACAGGCAAGGATGCTGATTATGGCTGGATTTCCAACAGGTACTACATGTGCACTGAAACCTGTCCTGTCCCATTTCATATTGCTGTGTATAGGATACTTGTTTTCAATCCCAACCAGTAACAGACGCTTTTATGAGACATGTACCTCTGGGCACTGCATGCACACATGTGTGTACATACGTAATAATTATTCATATATCAACATCGGGATAAGAAGCACCAGAGCTTATTTTTGAAATGAGCAGCCTAAATTGGTGCATATAATCATAAGATGCTTATTATGTATGAGGTGCCATATAATATATGTAAAATGAAAAGCACTGAAGTGCAAACGCTTGGCGCACTAGACGTGCACGGATGTCTGAGTGCACGCATTGATGCACAGGTCAGTACTGCTAATGCCGCCAGGAAGAATGAACTCCTCATCAAGTGTTTAACCTGCTCGTTCTTGCTAGTACCTGACCTCAACATTGCCACTACTGTTGCATTGTCACAGCGACAGTGTTTCGACTTCCCTTGCCACATTCTACCCCACATTTCTACGCCCACCACCACTGGCAGTTACTCCTTTATTGTGATGTTAAAATCCCGCCAGGACTCCGGCCATTCCAGTTGGAATCACTCTCCGGACGATGTGAAGGCTCCACACCGACACGAACCAGATGCATCTTAGGTTATTCTCGCTGAAAAACCACACTAAGATCATTCCCGTCCCATTCCATGACGGAAGCCTCCTTGGTTTAGGCAGATTCGGTGGTGTAGTTCTCTCTCCACCATAGACAAGGTAATGATGCGGCGGAGCGAAATGACCTGCCTGACTTTACAATGCAGCATACATGGTGCAACAGACCGATCAGAGACAGAAGCTCCCTCTTAGTGCAGGACCGCCTCACAGCCCATACCCCTATTTCAGTTTTTAAACGTCAAAGTTTCTCCGCTGGTGGACACATCTGCCCCTTTGTAGCATCCAGTTCAATAATAAACTTGCTGTAGGACCCTTGGTCTTATGCCTCGCAATTAGAACACCCAATGTGGCACAGTGAGAGAGAGATAGACCCAGAGCTTGTTCACACTCTCTGGCCTCTGCTTTTTCTACAAGGAGAAAATCATCAAGGTAGTGCAGCACTGTGACACCTCAGGTTGAGAGCCACCATGCCAGTGTTATTGAAAGCGATTGTGGGTGCCCCTGCAATGAGCATAGCAGCCTTTACATCCTTTTGCTGTCTTTGCCATGTGGTGTTACAACCCATTAGTAATAGGTAGCTGCCTTCCGTCCTGAAGAACCATTATAAGGTGGTCTGGTATATTCACTAGCAGTGTTGTAGTACATATTTGCTTTGTCTTCTTAGATATTAGTGATATTGCACAGAGAAGCCCTAAAAGTTCTTATCACGTTTTAAGTAAGTATGGTTGATTAACCTGGGCAAAGTATTTATTGCCCAGTTTTTTTGCAACTAACGAAGTTACCACACAGACTTTCATCTTATATATGTTATGGTTTACACCCAAGTGCGGTTTTTAAAGCATGAAGTTCAGTAGCTTTTACTTGCCAAAGTTTCATATTGTCCTATTTACACAGCATAGTTGTACTAACAAGGACATTGGTTGCATTTATAATAAATATTATTGTGTTGCATTACGTTGTTCTGTAGATAACTCTTCAAAACGTTTGAGGAATGGTAAGTTTTTGTGGTAAGTAGCTGCTTAAAATATAAATCTGAAGTATGGCAAAAGTTCACATTTTCAGGATCTCCGGCCCCAGGAGTAGCAGTACACAATATTGTCCTTACCATGAGGTGCACATATAAACATTCACCTGTTCATTCCGCGCTTGGGTTACCGAGTTTCTTAGAAAACTGCATGAGTCAATGTTTGTTAATTGTGGTCAATTATGTGATGAAGCATACTGATTAAATGAAGTGACCTTGATAATTGACCTTGTGTACTAAATGTCATGACATTCACAAACTCCTTTATGTTTGCTTACGTAATCTAATTGACCACAACGACCCTCCCATGTGTGGTGGGTGGTTTGGGTAAAGAGATGTAATTTAAAATCCAGTATGCAACAAGTTTCGTGAATGTCAGGTGAAATTAAGTTCAGTTTGACATGCCAGCATGGAAATTAAACAACCCACTGGAGTGAGAAACACTTCATGTGAATCGAAGCTTTGGTCTCAGTCCAGAGCTTTGCTTTAAATAAAGGAAAATAAGTGTGTGTAGTTGTGTATTGTTGTTCAGTTTTGTGGCTTTATGACTTTGTGTTACTGTACAGAATCAAGTCAAGCACAGACTTCAAGAAATGTACGTGTGTAAGCTAGTGAGTTTAACATAACCCTCATGGCACTGTAAGCAGTTCGTATGTGTGTGTATGTGTCTGTCTGTTACCATGTTTTCTACCACATGCCAGCCGAAGAGCAAGAACTAACATATTTTAGCAATTACACTGGCTTTATTTGGATTTGCCAAAACGCAGCATTCAAAGTCAGCCAGTATGCCTACGTATGATTCAAATTACACTTACCTTGGCTGCATTTCGCCTGTTTGCATACCATAGATGAATCACAAATTGCTTCCAATGGCAAGCACTTCTTGTCCTGACCACGTCGTGAATGATTAAATGTTACTGAGCCAAAGATTTTTTGCCACCAAAAATTATTAAGGTGGCAAAGAAGCCTAGGCCTTTGGCATCATAAGATTATTATGTGAACACCCCTGCGCCTCACCTAGTCTGTGCTAGTATCCCAGCCCCACTTTATTTGGGTGCAGCCATCTAGGTTCCACTTCTTGCCATCCCCCGTCCAATAAATGTGGTGGAGGCAATAAGAAAGAAAAGTGGATTGCTGCTAGAGATGAGCACTGTCCGCCATGTGCTCGTCGCTTGGCATGCACATGCACTGATTGCTCATTACAGCAGTTCCTGCTTGCCGCCAACCAGCTGTTTAACCTTGGCTAGTGTTTATTTCCTCTTCTCTGTGCTGGTATCGCAACACCCTGACAAGAGGCACCCTGTTCAGGACGTATGAGCTAGCAGTGAAGAAATACTCTGCTGGGCACGAGATGTCTGGATATGTGCGACGAATTTTCGGCAAGACTGCCACAGTGTTTCCTTCAGGGTAATATTCAAACAGGGTGCATATAATTACCTCAGCTTTCTGGCTGAAAAGCTACTCACGTTTCAAAGCACTTCCTGTTGGGAAATCCCATACTGGCCTAAAGCTTTTCAAGTGCTACTCTATAAGCAGCGCTTATCTGCTCACAGTTTAATCACGCTAGTTGCATTTTATGCATGCGCATTAATTGTACACGCCCATTTTCGGTATTTTGCAATCCGGGCGGAGCGCCCGGTAGTTATAATGCTGCTGGAAACACTGCACCACCCTAGCGCCTAAATGCAGCCGGGGCTGCCACTCATTTTGAAATAACCAACAATGGGAGCACTGGGCTACTCCACAAATGGTTAACATTGAGCCACAGAAGAAAGCACCTGTGCCTGTATTCCACAAACAGTCATGTAACAGCAAACAGCTTTCACCGGACTGAGGTCATTTTGCACCAATGAAAAAACCTCGACACTTCTCCCATAGCTGCTTCGCATCTGAACAAAGAATTTTGGCAGTTTCTCCAAGAAAATAATATTAGGTGCTGCAATGGGCCCCTTTAGTTTCTCTAGTGCAAAGGGAACACCCTAATGTTGATGGCTCAGATCAGCTCTAGGTTTTTCTTGCACACATCTATCTAAGTCGGTGTGACAACCAAGCAGAAGTGTAAGCAGTGTCATAAGGGTGATAAGGATATGATGCTCTTCACCTGCTGTAGCTTATTTCTCGAAGTGTACTTTAGTTCCTTCTCCAGATGTACATAAGACTAAGCTGGTGAAATGGTCTTTAGAGGAGATGGATTACATGCAATAATGCACTGATCTGAATTGTGTTTGTGTTAAATTTGCTTTCCACACCCAATATTAACCCTTGACCCGCATTCGCAGCAAGGGTTACTGTAGTTGTCATGTCTGTCTGTCAGTTCCACGACATCTCACTTCACGAGCCATCAATCGCTCCACAAACAATACCACGTAATCAGCATCGGATAAAGGTCGAAAAATATGTAAGATTTTCTCCGAAACTGCTGTGTTCGAGAGTTATGGCGTGAAACACGAGCGAAACAGCCATTATGCTAAATTAGAACAGGCTTACCTAGAGCATAGGTCCGCTTGCTCTGTGCATCTTAAAGGCACAAGAAGTCTCGTCGAAAGGAGTGTATCGACTCCTGCATGCTATCTACAGCTGTAGCAGCCCATGTCAGGCTCTCCGCGAGCTATTAGCTGGAGACCACGAGTAAACGCATGCTAATAGCCCAGCCCATCAATTAGCGGTACAGCGCATGCACAGTTCGCCGAGGGACTGCACTTCAGTGCTTTTATATAGTTGGATTGCAACAGGGTAGACTATATTTAACCAATTTTAACCCCTCTTTATGGTACTGTGCCGTCTCATACATGATTGCAGACTAGAGCAAAACACAGAAAGAGATCAAGTACATCCCCGGGTTCACTTACGAGCCAACTAGTCCAAGCAAGCCTTGTTGCAACCCTTCAGTTGGAACCATTTCAAGAGGTAGTAGATACCTATCTATTAACCTATAATTATGCCCTAGAATCATTGCTGTAGAAGCAACCTAAAGAGAGTGCATATTACCAGACACTTAATCACATGCCATCACTGTGTGAACACTAGTCCTTAGTCATCAGCTTCTGTAATGTTAGCATCCACTTTAGCATTAGATTTTTTCCTTGATGTGTGTATCTACATAGCTACACATACTACACATACTACTGTGCAGCAACACAACTCACGTGGCTTTTCTTTACACTACTGAAAAGTAGCAATTTCTGTTGCACAATGTAGCATTTATAGCATACCATTGGTCTACGTATGCACAATTTAGTACAAGTGTCCAAAATTGATTAAAGGAAAAAATAATTTAGCTTACATTAATGGCACATATTTCTGCAGGGCGAATCAATTTCTTGCCATTTTCCCAGCAGTTGTCCGAATCAATGCCAGTTTAGTTGTGTTTGTTTCTGACTCCCGAGTTTCACGTGCAGAGTATCTAAAGACTTCCATACAGAGTGTAAAAAGGAAACGTGCTACACCCTTGTACTTACATATTTGCTTGAGTATGATTTGTTATGATAGCTCTTTTCATTAGCAATCAGGTGAGCAACATAATGAGGGAGCTGAGGTGTGTAATTCAGCAGAGAGCATAGTTGATGATTTAATGGAGCTGGCAATTGAAACCCCTGAGAAGAAAACAAAGGATACAACTTCTGGTAAATCGTATAACTGTTGCATTTATACCTCGAGGCCTCTGCATTATGTGTATCCATGCAATAAACACGTACTGTATATGGCATTTTATTAGTGCGGATAAAATTTCCGCTCGTTTGACGCGCGAGGAATTACTGCTAATTTTTTCTCTTGCCGTGTGCCCATTTTGAAATTTTTATCTCCTCCGTTCCTTTCATCTGTGGTACTGGTCATGTCTATCTTGCGCTACTTCAAGAGGGATATACACCGTCTCATCCGCTGGTACTCCGTCTAGTGCGAGATTTAAGGGTGCCTTGAGGTCAGGAATGCCATAGAATCCTTAGCTATACCTGAATCCTTCTCGAAGATGCACACATTACACATGGAGGTGATGGTATAAAATAATTTTGCAGGAGCAAATGCTGCTGTTAACTGCATAAAGGCAGACTGCTTACAACTACATATCTACCCATAGGTGAAGCACCACAGATGTTACATTTATCACCAGCTAGAGTAAAGAGGTCTGAAAAGAAGGTAAGCATTGATGTACTTGCTATAGAATGCACAGCTACATAAAACCCTTCAGAGTTCTTTGTTTTACATAGTTTGCCATGCCTCTAAGGCATGCTGGGCTGTGTTACAACCTCAACCCCTATGCCTCACAGTAATTGACTTTGATTATTCAGCCATAAAATCATTGTGAGCTTTTACTGACAACAAAACACCTGTGCTTCACATGAGCATTATAAGTTCAATACGCTGTCTTGTACTCGTTTTGACTGTCCGTGCAGCAAGAACCTAAGTCAGTCTATCTGTGGTTGTGTTGCAAGCTTCCACTTCAAGTGTGTATCGGTAATCTTCCCTTCCATGGGTCAAGTCCTAACCTGCCTTCCGTGCACGAGAGAGAAGGCCTGGTATCTACACACTGGTTGTGCATGCGCCAAATATCTCTTTCATGGGTATACGCAATTATTACATACTATTGAGTGGGGAGAATTTTTAGCTACTGTCACACTGTTTCCTGTTGGAAAATCTCCTGGAGTAACCACAGAGGCCTTGGGGGTGTGTCCCATGCTGCATGCGCAGCTACTTCTCTTTCTCTATGCGGACGGGTGGCGAATTTTTATCTGACGCACCCTTTGATAACTTAGTCGTTTTCGCATTGCTTTTCTTTCACATATACGTACGCACAATAGGCGTGGCTGTGTAGTCTGCTCAAATGTTTTCACTGGTTTTTCTCTGCTCTTACAGTTACCGAGTGTTTAGGGTATCCTTTCCATTTACATACAGCCCATTTTGTGTGTAGTGCTAGGACTTCTTTTTCTCTAACTTTGGTGCAGTGTCATAACTTAAGGTCTGAAACTATTCATAATCGCCGCGACGTAGTCTAACAAGCCTGGTCTGGTTTGCGACACTAGCTGCAACGATGATATACACAGGTGCCTTTTAGTGTCAAGAGATATAGGCGTGTAATAAACCGAGCCTGCTCTAGGAGACGATCACCGATTGGGGCAAACGGCAGTGACGCGCAGACCAAACAAAATTAGAAACGCATTGAAAACAAATGCAAGGATAGTTTGTACATAAAGCCTTTCATCTAGGCACCAAAAGAAATATAACAGTTTCTCTGACAGCTTTACCAAACTAAGTTGCGTGGCCTGCCTTTGCTTATGCGAGAAGGAAAGAGCGTGAAAATGCAAAGGGTGCATCAGATAATTTAGAACAGGTGAAGTGCCTTCTCTACTGGCGCTAAACGGCTTTGTAGGATAGATTGGCCGAGCTCTTTAGCAAGCAAAGAGGCTTCTCTGGTAAGCTATTTACTTTTAAATAGCTAGTAGTAAGCACTACAAAGCTTCCTTTCAAGCATGCGGTACTAACACGGTGCGGTAGAATGCTTTTCAGCTGTCATATCTGGGTTCAACCAGAAGGTAGCTGGTATCATCATTAACCCTCGGCGCGCATGCGCAGCAAGGGTTATAGTACTTGGTTTGTCATTACCCTCGGCGCGCATGCGCAGCGAGGGTACTGTAGTTGGGTCTGTCTGTCCGTGTGTCTGTTACTCTCAATCTCACTTCTCGAATGTCTGTTCGTCTCACAAACGATACGACCTACTTAACGGGCAATGAAGGTCAGAAATTTCGAACGGTTTTCTCTGAAAATGCTCCGTTGCAAAGCTAGAGCGCTTCCAGCATTGTATGGCTAATACCGGTAGTCGCCATTTTATCGCTGGCGGATAATGCGCATGCGCTTATATTTAGCACAGGCTTACCTCGACCGGGTCTGCTTGCTCTGTCTATCTTCAAGGCACAAGAAGTCACAACGAGACTATCTACTAGCCCGTGTCAGACTCTCTGCGAGCTACTCACGGGAGACCCCGAGTAAGCGCATACTATACTAATACCCCAGCCCATCAATTTTAGGGGTACCGCACATGCGCAGTTCGCCGAGGGTTTGCACTTTAGTGCTTTTAATTGGGTCTGTCCGTCCGTCCGTCCGTCCGTCCGTCCGTGTGTCTGTTACTCTCAATCTCACTTCTCGAGTGTTTGTTCGTCTCACAAAGGATACGACCTACTTAACGGGCAATGAAGGTCAGAATGTTTGAACGGTTTTCTCTGCGGAAAATGCGCATGCGCTTATATTTTCAACAGGCTCGGGTCGGCTTGCTCTATGTATCTTGAAGGCACGAGAAGTCACAACGAAGGGCGTGTATCGACTCCCGCATGCTATCTACTACTGTAGCTAGCCCGTGTCAGACTCTCTGCGAGCTACTAGCGGGAGACCACGAGTAAACGCACTCTAATAGCAGCCCAGCCCATCAATTAGCGGTACCCCGCATCCCCAGTTCGCCGAGGGTTTGCACTTTAGTGCTTTTCATTCTGTCTGTCCTTCCGTCTGTCTGTCTGTTACCACGTTTTCCCCGCTACACGCAACAATACGCCAAAAAAGCGATACCAACGGGTTCAATGCCACACTGGCTTTATTTTAAAAATAGCGATTTCGGTAAAAATGCTGTGTTCGAAAGTTATGGCGTGAAAAGCAAGTCAAGGAGCTAATATGCAAATTAGCACAGGCTTACCTCGACCGCGTCCGCTCGCTCTGTGTATCTTGAAGGCACAAGAAGTCACAACGAAGGGCATGTATCAACTCCCGCATGCAATCTACTACTGTAGCTAGCCTGTGCCAGACTCTCCGCGAGCTACTAGCGGGATACGAGTAAAGAAAAGAAAAGCCCAGCCCATCAATTAGTGGTACCGCGCATGCGCAGTTTGCCGAGGGTTTGCACTTTAGTGCTTTTCATTTAGTATAGTGATGTAGCAACCTTCACCAAGCACACTAGCTGGCAAAAAGCGCGAACAGGGTGAAAGAAGCTTTGCAAAGAAACTGCTTTCACGAGTGTCGCAAAAAGCGCTTTCGTCCACACAAATTTACGTAGTACGTGAAAGAGATATTTTGGGAATGCCATATCAAGTTTTGAGTTCTTCGTGTCCTTGACGTCATCATAGAATATTTTTCTACACCACAGATCAGAGACAGCAGTAAGGAGCAAGTTGAACGCGCAAACATCATGCATGCTGCCGTCTTGTTTCAGTCTCTAGTGGAGCCTCCGAGACAATCCGTTGTTGTTGGTTACGTAGTACATTCTGCATGCGAAGCTCTCTCTCCTCGCTGGACCCTGCAGCAATTGTCTACTCTCGGTTGCTTCGTACTTGCTGCAGGCGAGTGTGCCTTGCATTGATAGACTTTGCAGCAATTCTCTGCTCTTGATTCCTGCATAGCAGCTGCCCTCTCTCTCCTCGATGGACTTAGCAGCGATTCTCTGCTATTTATTCCTACGTAGTAGCGCTGGTCAAGCCTCACTATCTTCGCTTGAATCAGCAGCAATTCTCCTTTCTTGAGACTTTCGGAGCTGTTTGAGCCAGGCCTGTTCTGTTTTCCCTGATTCAGGAGCACACTCGTGGCGCTTCTGCTGTTTTGGGGTTCCCTTTGACGCAATCGGCATTAAGAAATACAAGCCTCTCTCTGCTCGAGACACAACATTGTTTATCCCTTGACTGATCAATGATTGTTATGCACACGCACATAAAACGAAGCCGTGCATGCGTTCCATAGGAGAGGCTGTGGATGATATCCATTCAGTTCTGGGCTTGGGATTGTTGTTATGCCCAATATTGAGTGCCCTGACATTCAAAAAACACTCCATGTTGTGCCCAATATGGAGAATCCCATGTTATGCCCAATATCAAGTATCCCGACATTTACAATGTCTTGATAAACACTCCAAGTCCAGGCGTGGTTTTCAGCACTTCCTTGCATGCAAGCCACACAATAAAGGGATATACGTTTTATTCACTCATTTTCTGAAGTCACTTGATTGACTTACGATAGTGGTCACAGACATTCAGCCGAAGCTTCATAAAGGCAATCAAAACCTGCTGAAAGAGGAGCAAAGCAGAGCAATTATTTCAACAAAAGCTGATAACAAGAAAAATAAACACTGTCATTGACGAGGATAGGATGGGAGACCAGTGTAAAATTCGATTACATCAGGCACCTTTCTGCAAGGAAATTTCGTGTCAAGACACTTTCTTCCCGAACAACTCTAACCTCGCATGCCCTTTTCATATGTCCAACCTCCTCAGCTGATTGATCAGTTTGTGTAGCCACAGAAAGAGAACTGCTATTCTCCAATGTAGTTGTCGCTAGTTCTGCATCTTCTCTAGCTGCGTTCTAGATTACTGCCTCCTCCCTTGCTGCGCTTTCACTTACTTGTTCCTCCCTTCCCTTTTGCCGCATTCCACTCTCTACTCTTCCTCGATTAGCCTGCTTTCTACTGGGGTAAGCATGGAGGTCAGCCTGCTTCCGTCACCATTACACTCTCCAATTTTATCACGTGATGCGTGCCACGACCTACATTGGATGACGTTTAGTTCGAGAGGGTATGGCTACGCCAGAATTCTAGCAAAGCAGTTAGCCTTACGTCACAGAATTCAAAAACAGCTTTGTGATGTGTAATGACAGTCACGGCACGCATCACGTGGTAAAATCATCCAGGCCCTCTTCGAAAATACTCCCACGCGTAATAAGAACATACAGAGCATACGCACGTGGAAGGCCTGGTTTCGAGGCTAGTATTACCCATATAGCAGTACAAACGAATCCCATTACCCGGAGACAGCTATGTGGGCGTGACGCCCTATTCAGAAACTGCATCGACAACAAACTGCATCTTGAGTTTGACACTGAAAATGGTTTCAGCACGTTACCCTAAACTAACTAGCCAAACTAGCCTGGACCTAGCCGACCTAGTCCTCCCTTCCTGGACCAAACCTATAGCCTAGACCTCAGCCGATCTTACCTGGCCCTAGGCTATACATAGCCGACCTAGCCTAGGCCTCAAAAGTAGACCTAGATGACCTGGCTTAGTCCTCAGGCCAAAACCTAGCCGACCTAGCCTAGACACAACTCCTACGAGCATGCGCACAACTGGTAGCTAATCTCTAGGTGTTGAAGCGACATCATAACACCCAGGGTCCGTCTGGTGCTCTTTTCATTAAGTCAGTGGTTGTCCTGTAGCAGTGGAGCAAAAGATGGGCTGACAGGTTCTGATTACGCTAGTGAGCAATAGCCTTTGCCTGGTGAAAGAGAGGAAGAGGACTTTAGTTCCAGTCCACAAGAAGAAAAGAATCCTGAGTGATATATTTGGCACATCCTTCATTCCCCTGTTGTAGGACACCCAGTGGCCACAATTTCTCTCACTATGTATCTGTTTCCGCTCACCTACTCATCACATACATTGTAATTGTTGTAAATGATTCCTTAACAATACATTTTACTGTTTTCTTCATATTTTCTCTAGAAAAGTGTTGTGGATGCAACAGAACAACTTACAAAATATGATGATGAACCATGTCAGCCATTCAGTAAAGGTTTTAGCGGATGTCGTATAGTACAGAATTTGTCAATAGTTAAGGAAGCAAATTCAAAGCAGAAGACTGCAGAAGACAATATGAGCATTGATGGTGATGAAGTGACTGTCCCGCATCTTACAGTATATTGTACAAGCACTGAGCAGCCATCAGACACCAGTTTATGTCTCAACCAAGGAGATATGCAAACTCTTAAAGTGTTACTTTGTATTTCTCAAGAGAGTGTTACTGAAACAGATGAAGAATCACTAGGAACACCACGATTAGCCCCACCATTGGAATTTACAGATGATTACATTGATTCTATGACCAATACTGGAATGATGCAGTGCACACATGTTGGAAGAGGTTTGGACGATGATGAATTTGTACTCCCAGAAAGTAATATGTGCCAAAGCAAAGTAAGTAACATTGGTGTAAGTACACCGAGGAACCCTCCTACTGATCACACGCAAAAATCAATACTTAATTGGCAAACAAGCCCAACATGCCTCAAAAGTCAAAGCATACATTGCCAGGAACAATTTTGTTTATGTGAGGCTTCCATTATATCAAAGACCTGCACAACTCATGAAAAGCAAAATACTGTGCTGCATACAAATATAGAACACTATAGCTCTCCAAAACTTGAAGAACATCAGCATAGCTCACCAAGTTTAGAAAACAGAGGAATGTTTCCTTTTGTCTTGCAGCAGAGTCAGACACAAAAAGCAGCAAAACCAACCCTAAGACATATGAATCCATACACAGGGAATCCTGAAGAAGAATTGTCTTTTGACGAAGTACTGCAACACTATGATAACTATGCTTCTTCTACCGGTAAAACTGCCAGATCATGGTGTGTTAATCAGCTGTCAGGATCACCAAGTCTCCCAAAGGGAGAGAAACGGAGAAAAGATAGGAAGAGAAGCATGACAGTAGCAAGCTTTGATAGAAAAACGCTTCTTGCAGCTGTAGAAGGAACATTCTCTCAGCCTTCTACCGAATCACCAAAGAAACCACACTCTAAAGTGCAGCATTTGGCCAGGGAGTACTCTAGACGAATTAAAGATAATCAGATGAACAAGCATTCCCCAGTTAATGATAAAGTATGTGCTCTACCTAACTGGGTACCTGAAGGACCAGTAGAGCGGTTAGTTAAAGGTAACAAAGAAACTACTAATCATCCAGTGGAAAATTTATCGTGGATGAGTAAAAAAGACTCAGGAAGCAGTCCTACATTGCATCCAGAGCAGACATCCATGACTGTTTACCACATACCTCCCACAGATGTCCAACTACAGACAAGTCCTACCACAAATACACAAAGTAATAAGGGATTAAAAGGATTGGTGAAGTCTCTTGTTGTAAAGTTTGGTGGAGGAAAATAACAGGGAAGAATCAAAACATGGAGGTATATACCTCACCACCTTTTTATTTTATGTAATGTTTGATCCGACCACATGATTATCCTCACGCTATCACATTAAGAAATTAGGCAGAAAGGGGGTGTTGGGCTTCTAACGGCTTGGTGACCTATATCAAACACACACTTGGAACATGTGAGATGACCCAAAACTATTAACATTCTTTAAGACACATGTCTGACAAACCTGCATGCAATGAGGTGTATATTTAACCCTTGTGTCCATCTGTCTGTTCCTGCCACTATGTGCAACAAAGCATGCTTAAGTACTACAAGTAAATAGAAATTCCTGCGAGATTAAAAAAAGAGTGCATATAGGGATCGTATAGAAAGAAAGGGAGACAAGATAGGG